TTTTCTCAAAGGTGGGAGTAAAGGTCTGAATCACCTCAGACTGAGTGGACCTTGGGCCCCTGACTACAAGAAGGACACTGGAACAGGCTGCCCAGGGAAGTGGTGGAGTCACCATCCCTGGAGGTGTTCAAAAAACATACAGACATGACACTTCAGGACATGGTTCATTGGGCTCGGTGGTGCTGGGTTGATGGTTGGACTAGATCTTAGAGGTCTTTTCTAACCCTAATGATTCTATGATTGTATTTAAGAGGCGATTCTTGCAATGCAGAATTACCATAAAAGAAAATACTGGTTTTCTCTCTCAGCCCTTTAAGTCTCTCTCTGCTGATTTTTAACCTGGGAAGTTATTTGGGTAAATAGAAACACTGCTCATTAGGGTTTTTTTTGTAACATTAATTTCAGCTCAGAAAGAAACCAGAAAATACTGCAGTTCAGTAGTGTACAACTGATAGCTACCTGAAATGTACCATAAAATGGTACATCCGAGAGCTACACCTGTCAGAGCTGCTCTGTACTTGTAGAAATAGACACCTGCCCTCTCTTTCTTCATGCTGCACTTGGTAACTACGATACCCAATAGGAATTCTGTCCTTATTTCTCCCAATCCTGGAAGTTTACCTTAGATGCTGTTAAAGTGCATCCATTCACATAGATTGTCTAGGCAGTTGACATTGTTTGCTTTACAGCAGTACTGCTATTCCTCTCTTCCCCCCCCCTTCTGAAGGCATTTTCAGTTTCGTGCAGATCACTTGATAAACTCCTGGCAAGCCAAGAAGAACGCTCTGAAGCTGAAATGTAAAGGGCTGACTCAGTGACTGCAATAGCAGAATCTTTGTTGCAGTAACAGAAAATGGAACCATCTGCTACTGCATATTGTTAAAATACACAGATGATGCCAGGGAGAGAGCGTCTGGGGCAGAACTCCCTGAAGTTTGGGAGGGAACAAGGTGCATCTCCACAAGAGCAGGTAGAATCACTGTGGGCCCTTAAGAAAACAGATGACTTCAGCGTGTGGATTTGGCACAGTGACAAACTAAATCGTTGGGATGCAGCTCATCAGGCACAAGCGGTGCCAGCAGTTGGACTGGGATGGGAAAACCTCTCCAGCCCCATAAACGATGGTGTGATCCTACATGTCTGTTTTACCTTGCTTTAGATTCCTAACATACCACAGGCTCAGAGAGGAGACAGAGCACAGAAGCACTCTGCCTCCTTCCCTGTCAGGTACGGCCTATTCTCAGCCAAGGAGGCAACACAAAACAAGCCCAAAAAGAACCAAACCCGTGTAAGCATCTCTGGCAGATGCTTCTGTAACACCATGGTGTGGCAAACAGCTCATCTCCCTGATCTAAAATGAACACATATAATGAATTCAGTGTTGGGTCTTCAATTATAAAAAACTTGCTATACGTTCCCACACACATATCTTGACACCTCCCATTTCACTCATCCCCACCAACAGCCCTTGAACTAATTTCCATAGATTTTAACGTAACATCTCTAAATTGCTGTTGGTAAAAAGGTGCTAATGCAGAGGAAGGAGCAGTTATCACTCTAATAAAGATAAGAGAAAAAGCCCATCCTCAATCATCTATGTAAATAATCCTCCTTGGAAGAAAATCTCCAGCTAATCCATGAACAGTGAGGTGACAGAGGGTACCTCCTGAATGAGCAATAACAGATGTTACAGTTACATTTCCAAACTAATTCTGAATTGCTTCCAGCAAGGTGATGCTTATTTGACATTAGACAATAATAATAGCTTTTAAAAGTAATCTTACATAATGTAGCCATCTTGAGTTTTAGCAGTTACTCATTCACAGCCAGCAGGAGCTCCCATGGGGTTTGTTCTGTGACCCAACGAGGACTTTGAGAAGAAGCTTCACTGCAGCTCATAACAGTTCAACTTTTTAGGACTTTCAGCCTCCTCAACACTCACATTCAGCAATAGAGTAAGCTAATACCACTACATGGCACTCTTCCTGACAATCATTATCCATGGCTAGTTCAGCATTGCAGCACCTCAAATCCTGCCCTTTTAACAAGAAACTACTCCACAGTCTCAGCAGACCCCCCCTCACCTGCTGGGACAAGAGAAGAGCTACAGGTCTTCCCTGGTAGTACTCCACCATTCAGTTCAACCTTCTAGAAAGCTACACTAAATACCTTAATACCATAGATTTGGCATAGAAACTTCACGTAGCATCCACTAGATCTAGCTGGTCAAATAACAGGTTTGTTCTCCCCAAATAATTTCTCCATGAAGTCTGTTCTGCCTCCATCACTGCAATAAGGGCTATACCTCTTTGAGCAAGATTTTGCTGCTCAGCTTTGAACCTTAGGCTCCTAATAAACTCCCCAACTCCTGCATTGCTGTAGGATTTAGTCAAGAAAATATAATTCATCAGATCAGCAACACTTACCTTCTCAATGAGATACTCCCAATTCCCTCCTCCAGTGCTTACTGCTTCTGCTTTTTTTTTTTCAAATTATTTTTTTTTTTTCTTTCTTTATACACCCACTTTAATTTCCTCCTCTGCTATCCACACCCACACCAGGTGCATGAAATGCAGTAAGTCCCACCTGCAAGCTTTTTACACAGATTAGGTGGTAGTGGTAATACTTTAAAAAGTCCTTTATAGGTCTCCCATTCTGGGACTGGCTAAGTCAAAAGTTTTAAGTCAGGAACTGTTTTAATGTGATTTATTTTTTTTTTAAGATGCTTGAATATCCTGAATGAGAAAAAGACTATTTTGATAGCTACAGTCCAAGCACATAAAGCAGTTCATGTTTAATTTAAAATCTTGGTTTGGATTTACCAGGAATATTTGTTGAAGTTTAATATTAAAATAAACCTAAGAATATTTTTTAATGATTATCTGCTTTTGATTTATTACTATGTAAACACTTTCAAATATTTTACAGAAAAAATATGAGTAATGCAAACTTAATCTTGGATGGAAGTACAACTATTTATATTTAAAAAAAAGGAACCATGATTTGAAAATAAACATCTGACACTTTCACAAGTGATTTTTTTTTTCTTCTCTGTTCATTTGAAAACAGATCTCTTAGTGCATATATTATCATGATTTTTTTCAGCTGTGCTGCATATTTTTAAAATAATGTTGCTTAGGGTCTGTTCTTTACTCCCATAAGGGCTACATATGTTGCTTCTATGAGAATTGGGTCTTCCTATGGCTTTTCAAAGGATTTACTACTTGAGTATACGTTCAATCTTTTAGAAAATGTCTCAAAATAAGAATAGAAGGCTGCAATTTTTCATTCTAAAAACATGTTTGGAATTATGTACTGCTACTTAGTGTCGGCCACCAAGCAATTGTGAACTGTTTGTATTTAGCAGATGTTTTTAGACAGTGAAGTAGGATGGTTCCACAGAAGTGAGATACAACGTGCTGATTGTCATAAGGCATGGAACATGAAAGAGGAAGGTCTTGATCCTGTCTAGCTGGTAGATATTTTGCTGTTAATTTTACAGAACACAGGAGCAGATCATAAGGCTCTGTTTTATAATTAAATAATAAATAATTAAATAAAATTTTAAAAAATAATAAATAAAAAAATACCAGTTGCTACTTAATAAGATGATTGCAAAAATGCTTTCAATTTTTTAATTTCCCTGCAAAGGAAAATTAATTTTCAATAAAATCTAGCTATTTCTGTGCTATCTGTAGTAAGTGAGTGCTTGCCCCATTCACTGTGTAGCTCATTATCAGGTTAGCAAGCACTGTTGTATATTGTAGGCATCCAGTCAGTAGCAGCAAAATGCAGGAACACATATTACAAATAATAAAGAAGACTTTCAAAATATATGAGTATTTTAAAAAATTTTATTTCATTTGTAATGAAACAACTGAGTTCTGCTCAAATTTATACAATCAGTGAAATAATCCTATAAAATGATTTTTCTAGGACGTTACAAGGCACATAAATTATATAAACATAGAAAAGTAGCCAAAATAATGAACTAAGCCCCCATATGCCTTTAGGTATTTTAGAGGTGTGTGAATGATTTACAAGAGTGTGAATCACTCTACTGACAGGGTAATGAATATTTCACATTTGGCATGACCAACGAAATTAAAATTAAGAGGAAGGAAAAGCTCAGGTTCAAGAACAGTGTAGTGTTTTGTGACCCAGGAGGGACTAGTGTCTTCTGAAGTTCCTCCTTGGGTCAAAGGGCTGGGCATCTTTCACTGCTTCCCTTCGTGGGTTGCAGCACATCACCCCACTCGTACAACCGACCATCTCTATTGTCTGACAGAGGAAGAGGCAACATTTCAGCTTCCCCAGGCTTCTATATTGGGCGACTTTGTAAAAACCAGGAAGGATCTCCATCTCCATACAGATCTGACACTTTGCATTGTCTTTAGCTTTAAAAAGTAGAAGGTTTGGGGGGTTTTTTTCCATGGGCTTTTTTTTTTTTGAAGTAATCACTTTGGGAAGTTGTTTGGCATGCAGTAAGTCTTTATAGTCTACTGGTTAACAAAATCTTGCAACCCATAAAAATAGTGAATTTTTTATTTTATTTCAAGAGGCATTACCAAATAATTTCCACAAATATTCATTTTCCACCTGCATATATATTTTTTCAACTAGCCTAACAGTCAAGGATTCAATGTAATAAGATTTTCATACAAATGTATTGTATTATGTATTTTCTTCCATTAACAGGATCCACTTCTTTATGTAACTCTAAGTATACATTCACATATTAAAGAGTAATAATTTGGCTAAAAATATATGTCTATTTCTTATCTGATTGTAGTAATTAGCCTATCAAGGGTAATTTGCTATAAAAGGTACAGTACTAGAAATAAATAGTTCTACAATTCAGAGATCTTCAACATGGGTTGCCATTTCCAGTCTGTCTTAAATTTTCCAAAGTCCTTTTAAAGCATAAACTAAATTTACTAAACTTGAGAAAATAATTTGGACCTACGTACATAGAGTCCCAATCACATGAGGAGTTTATTTCACTTAATCTCCTTCTTGGTTTTGTAATGGGCAGAAACAACCAGATAATTGTCTGGATTCATGTCCCTGAGGGTTGGAGACTTGCTCTGGATTGGAGAAGTTTTCCCATCCACTCGGGAGATCTGCAACATTCGGCACGGGTCATGCTTCAATAAGTAACCTGCAAAAGTCTCCCATCCTCCTCCAACACGAACCATCACATGTTTGTTGTGCAGCATCTGAAATGACATACACAGAAAAAAAAAACCACAAAAACTTTTGAGAGGGAACCATTCATGGAGAAATCACAATTTTTTTTCTACTGGAAAAAGCATGGAAAGCTGTAAAACTGTCTCAAATTTTAAAATCAGGGTAAGTTTATAAGGAATCAAAATTTCATTTGCAGGTGAAATCTTGTTTGAAAGTTTTCACTTAAAACATTTTTTCAAGGAAATTCTTGTTTCTGCTTTTTGGTTTTTATGTGAAACACAGTGGGAAGTCAATTCAGCTTTACAGATACTGAAAAATAAAGTTACTTCTGATCCATCCCAGTGAGAGCACACTCAAGTACTCTTTGGTTCATTAAAATCTTCACCAATCACACTTTTTCATCTCAAGCTTTGTATCTTAGTTTCCAGACTTCATTTTGAACTGACAATGGTACGATCAGCCTTCAGCAGTATGAGATTTGAATCAAGTCTTTAGTCTGGACAATATATCATCAAAGCAGCAAATGGCTTTTACATTAAGTTTGAAAACTGCAGTTCAAATGGTCACAGGCTTGAAGCAGCAGAGTGTGCACAATTCTATTTAGCACCTTTCTCTTTGAATGCCTAAAAAAAAAACATTTGAGAAATGCCCTAAAAACTTTTCACATCAAAACATTTTAAGCCCAGCTTTGGTCCACACATCCAAACATGTGCTGCTGCTCTGGGAAGGAGTTAACTGTTGCTGAATTTCAGCTTCCACATATCATCACAAGGGGGTTCACGTTCCAAGAGCAGTTAGGATCTGGACTTTTGATTAAGAGTTAGGAATGGAAAGTTAGCAAAAAGTATATTTGGTTCAATTTCCCTTAGGGACTACTGTGCAGACAAATAAAACCTACTGCTGGTATGTTATTTCCTGATGCTCAGGTTAAATGCACATCTTCTGTCTTTCCCCTATTTTTTTCTTTCTCTCTGTATTATTATACTATTAGAAAATTCACTGAATCCCTGCTTTCTATAGAAACTGGGTTTTCCTGCATGCCAAGTATAGTCATTGTTCATGCTGTGCTGTGCCTCAAAAGCACCATTTTATTCCTCTGGCCATTTTTTGATGTTAGTTAACACCAGCACAAACCCAGAATAATTCTGCTAGCTTCAGAATTGCTCCAGGTTCACAGGATTTCTCACCAAGATAAAGGATTTCTCACCAGGAGGAAAAAAACCAAACAAAACAAAACAAAAAAACCTCACTCTACTTTCTAACCAAAAAAGCAGTTTCCTCCCAAACATACTTCAGCTGAAGATGAAACTTTGGAGATTTTTTTTATGATCCACCCAATTCAGCTTTTCATTGCATGAGATCTCTGAGAAAAAGGTGAATTCAATGATAATAGTTTATTAATCAGTTATCACTGTAAATAAATTCATGACATACATGTGTTTTCACACTGCTATTCAGCCAGTTGAAACCGAGAAAACCTTTTCTGTGAAACAAAACCCAACATATGTTTACAATTGCCATAAATCTTCATTATTTCAGTTGTGTCTGAAGCGGGGCTGTCACTAAAGCAGTTCTCTCTAGAATCTGTGTTTAAGTTGAATCTATGGTGAAGCAAACATACGAGAAACCAGATGACCAGACAATAGCATCGCAGAGGGAGAAATCATAGATAGTTTTGGTAAGCATTAAGCCTAAAAACAGTCAATAAAAGCTCAGTGCACTAAGGTGTTGTTGCATAGGAAGGACTTCAGCATCAAAGTGAAATATAGTCTAATGATTCTGGTTTTCACATCAATAAGCTTTATGGCTTATTAAAGAGATATTAAGCTGTATGAAAAAAGAATTAAGCTCATGTAAATGAGCACAGTTTTACTGACTTGGAAAAAATATTCTGTTTTATAGGAACTGAAAATCTGCCCTGATGTTGTTATTCTTCAGATTATATTCTAACTTTCTTCAAGAATATTTCAGGGAGGGGAGGGGAAGTGGCAGGAGGAATTGCACACTATGGATCCCATCCGAGTACTGCAAAAGCCAACGGAAAGAATCCTACTGACTTGAAAGGAACTTGGGCTGGGGTCTGGAAGCCAAACGCAGCAACCTAAAGCAAATCACAGCCTGGAGTTAGTTGGTGTGATTTTAGGCCAACTGCAGAAACAATGTAGGCTACATACTGAGAACAAACTGACTATAAAATCCAAAGGTGTTTGGCAAAATAACGCAGTGCATCGCACCAGGGGCTGTGCAAAGAAAACATCACACTCCAAAAGTGAAACATCAATAAGATTGGGAAAAAAAAACACTGAATACATTTCAATTAATTTTTACTGAATATGAGCCACTTAGACTCATTGTCACCAGTAGATATAACCCTTGTTTCTCGTATCTTAGTATTTAGGGGACCTTCGAGAGGTAGCCAGAACTACACCATGAAATAGGCTTCTAGATCAAGATATTTTCACACTGACCCCAGAGACATCACAGGCCAACACTACGGAAATCCCAACGTTGTTAAGACTTGTCCTCATTACTATGTCAGACCACTACCCACAGCAAGCTGGAAGGCCCCGCCACCATCACTGCAGGCTTTGAGACCTGAGGTGAGGACACACACATGGGACACTCAGACACGGTACCTCCACTTCATGATTTTGTAGCGACCGCAGCTGAAGCCATTTAGGAGTCATTTTGCTCCAGCATGTCTGTACCATTTATGTTGATGATCTACACTCCTGTCTAAAAAAAAAAGCTTTCTCAAATCTCAGTATTTTTCACTAACCACTCTTAATTATGTTGATGATCTACACTCCTGTCTAAAAAATCTCAAATCTCAGTATTATTCACTAACCACTCTTAATAAAAAAAAAAACCTCAGACCTGGAATGGGACCTGGATCTGGGCTGTCAGCCTTCCCCAGCGAGTCTCTGGGCCTGTATCTAGAATATGGTATTGTCAAATAATGACAAATTACTCCACAGGACGTAGCTCATGTGGACATTTTAATGGAGTAGGACACCTCTTCCATGCAAGAGTCTGTGATCTCTCTCAGCATCTTCCTAGTTGCGACCTGAAGAACTGACGTTAGGAGAGAACTTGCAGCCTGTGGCTGTTTGTGTGGCTGACAGAGGGTAATGTCTTCTTGGAATTTGGTGTGCATATCCACATGGAAGAAGAAGAAGTATTATTTGGGGACTTAAGACATTATCACTTCAGAGAACAAGGCTTGTGTCATCAAGCATCAAAATTTTATTTTTGCTGCAAGCCACAATTACAGCTGTTAAAAATGCCATGTTAGCAGAGATTATGCAGCTTCATCTCCAGAGTTCATAGTAAAATTTATAGCAGAATCCTGCAGTACCATCAGATTTAAACATCAGTCGGGTTAGATTCAAATACATTCCTGTTTTAAAAAGTTTAGAGCCACTTTAGCATGTATTTTATAAAAGGCATTACTGCTGCTACATACTTAGAGTTCACCCTCATGGACACAAGAGATTGTAGGAGCAATTCCCAAGAGGATAGGGAAGAAAACCACCTTCCAGCTGGAAAGCTAGAAATCTTCCATCCAACTACTCATTTTCTTGGCTTTCATTCTCCTTTTGTCATTGAATTTGTGTGTGTTGTCATCTTAGCGAAAAGTTTAAGTCTAATAAAACATAAAGCTTATTTTAGACTTTTAAGAACTCGCTTATGTGCCTAAGTGCACATCTGAGGAATTCAAATTAAACCGCAACTCTGCAAATCTGAAAAATTGCAAATTATGTAGCCAATTCCAGATATTAATTATTCATCCACACTGAAGTAATCTACTTACAGTATATTAATGTGAGTTTTGGCAGGCAACAGTATATTAGTCTCTTCCAACCTGAATTAGCCTATGAACAGATTGTATTAAGAAAAAAAAATAAAATTTCCCCACCTGAAAACCAAGAAAAATGCACTCCTCATTTTAACTTCTCATCCCTCATTAGGTCACATTTTGCCTAGCTCCCCCTTGATATAGAATTGTACAAAACTGGTTTGGATTATATCTATTAATTTTAAAAAGTTCCAAGTGATGCAACTTGTATCATTCCAGTCATTACATATGGATTTGTTTAGGGACCTCCTCCAAGTTCCTGTCATTCTAGAACCCCAATAAAGGAGCCTGCACTTCCCTCTCTGCAGACGCCATGCTAATGACATGGAAAACAGACAGCTCGCTGGATTAACATCTCCCTCTCATTTTCAGGGATTTATATGTAGTAAATCACACTAAATGAATCTCACTTAGCTGGAAAAAGCAATATAAAAAAGCTCAGCTTGAAAAAAAGATGTCAAGAGCGTACACTAACTGCTTGTCACAATATTTCTAGCTGTGCTAGAGTTGGGTTTTATAATTAACACACTGAATTATAAAGAATTTTATTTTAACATTATATCTTGGGCTGTACCAAACACATTAACAGGTATCCACTCCGTTTACTGAAACAATCTCTTACATTATGTTGTACAAACAAAGAACGAGACAGAATAATACTTTATGAATTATAAGCTTCATTGGTTCAAGTCTATATTCCCAAACTAAATCAAGTGCAAACATTCCTGATTTTAGAGTAAATATTAATGGTGTAAAACAAACCAGAATGGAGGCATTAATCAGAATCCCTAAATCTCCATTTTTGGTTAGAATAACCTTTATTGCTTTGTGTCAAGTGATATTTCTCACTGAACGAGGAGCTCAGTTTTCATATAGAACCTAATAAAGTTCCCAACCGCTTCAGCAACACCCCCATACTTATATTCTCCATGTCTGTTGACTGACATACAGGCTGGGGGGACTGAAAGAAGTATTGGCTTAAATAGGTGATACAAAAAATGCTGATACACTGAAGGCTGATATATTTTCCAGGGTAGGCAGCCCTAGAGGCTCACACCAATACACCTTTCAAAGCACATACAGTCCAGGCTTTACACTAAATATTGATCAGAAGCCTCCTATAATTCATCGAGTCATTTTTTCAAAGTTTGTTTCAGATCAAAAGAACAA